GCAGGAGGTGAAGGAAAAAGAAGGCGGAATGGTTCTGCAGATGGAATCGCGAAACGGACCGCTCGAGTGTGTGTTTGCGACCCGGCGATAGAGTCGCCTTTTGTCTCCGTCCGAGCCGGATCACGGAAGTCGTTTCACGAATAAAAGATCAAGCACGCCAGTGACGGCATCGAGGGATGAAGGATGACTCCTGGCGGGAACGCTCTTTGACAAATTTTCGGGGGTCCTTGTCTGGAGTCCATCCTTGGGATGGGCGTTCTTCGTTGGTTTGTGAGAGGAATTGGTTGAGATAGCCTGATGGGGTTGGTTTGAGAAAATGTCCTTACGACGTAAGAAGTTGCAGTGGAATAGGGATTTAGCCAGTCAGCTGTGATTTACGAGTATACTCGTCGCGTGTAAAATTTTGTTACCATTGGTTGTTTAAGAGTATGTTTCGCATATTAACCCTTTGCACTCGAGGCCTTTTTTTCTGGTATCTATCAGCAACTCGAGATGCTTTGATTGACTTCGAAAATGAGATCTCTAATTTGAGAATCAGGTCACCTTTGCCTCAACGACAATCATTTTATTGACACTTCGAGTTCCAAAGAAATCAAACCTAAAGGAAACCTAGTGGTGACTGAGAGTCAACTCTCGAGTGCAAAGGGTTAATTTGAGTAGCAGAAGTATAAGTGGCATGAATTTTTGGGACGACCGAATATATAGCCGTCTTTACGTTCCAATATTAATTTGTTTTTGACGACTATACCTGTCGTAGCTTGATGCTCAAGGCACACATAGATGCGCGCTCTGAAAACGGGACTACGCCACAGCCGACTGGTTAAGGGAGGAAGAAAGGCGGGAAAATCATATCTATACTCAACAATTTTTTTTTGGAATTAAGTAACATAATGAAAGATCTGTTTACTCGTGTTTATTATACATTATTATATTGGACTGTCTGGAAAGTCCACGTTGATTTTTGGTAGGTGGTACAGGCCTGAATACATAGGAATGGCGTTGAAAACAAATAACATATACGCATTCCTTAAAAGGTGGAAAGGTTGTGGAACAAGATGTGCCTTTGAATTTTTCTTAAAAATTGCCACGAACTTTCTGGGCAACCCAATACACATATATATATTGTTATTATACATATATCGAGTAAAACAAAATTATTTTTATTTGGATTTCTTAATTAAATTATTTTTATTTGGATTTCTTAATTAAATTATTTTTATTTGGATTTCTTAATTAAATTATTTTTATTTGGATTTCTTAATTAAATTATTTTTATTTGGATTTCTTAATTAAATTATTTTCCGAAACAAATTGTTGAATGCAGCTATGATTTTCACGTGTCCAACATGGCTTTTCTCTGCAAATTAGACGGCGAAACGAGTTCAGAAGCACAAAGTAATGAACACATTGAATGTGACAGAAACATGGTTCTACTCTCAGAATTTCTAACGAATTCTTTTCAAATACGATTTCCTTAAATGCTTCATTGAGGTATTTCAACGCTAGCAATGGATGCTGAAGAAACAAATGACCGAATTGACCCCAAAGATAAAAATCCATTGGATTCAATGGGACCAGACACTAGATCTTGGACGACCTATCCATCAGTTAGAAAATCGTTCGTTCAAGTAGTGACTGCTTACTCGGCTGATATGTGGCCCTGCACCGTCATGCATAAACCATATGCGACGTGCAACGTCAACTGGGTCTTCTTCCAATAGATCATTCAATTGATTACTCGAGGAATTGACATAGGATTGACCTGTTAATACCCCCTTCAAGTAAAACAACGGGTTATCGAGTACTGCATCCACTGTAGAATCAGTCGTGCACTAGCTTGGTATACGATTAAAAATATTCAGAGCACATGAATGACTATAACTTGTGATCAAGATAGGGCTGATATTCATATGAACTCTTTTCAATATTCAGTCACTGAAGTGAGTTCTACATGTAAATAATTTTATTTTATCCTCAAAACAGTACATGATCATTCTTGAAGTTAATGTCTGATATGAACAATAAGTAGAGGAATCTGCAATTCTAGTTATATGACTCATATGTCTTCAAACATTGTGTATAAAGCAAATGAACTAATTAAATATAATAAAAATATGATTGTAGTCCCAGAATTCTCGACGAGTTCTTCACGATACAAATATTCGTACAGTCACCACTTACGCATCCCTCGAGAATTCCACTCTGTCTATCTCCCCTCTCAAATATTTATTATTGTTTATCACTGTCACTTCCATGACTCAACTAACCTCCGAAAGCGAACATTAACATCTCTCTGACGCGCCTTTACGCAAATTACCTCTTCTCTTCTCGACCAGGCCCTAGGGGTTAGGGGGTTAATTTTGAAGGTAGTTGCCACAATGTTGCGCTGTCACGTGACGGAAGCACTTACGCCCATTGTGTAGGCTACAATGCAGGGTAGAAAATATGCATAGAATGTTGCAGTGTAGTCTGGCACCTGCCAACGACGAAGAGAGGAGAGACTGAACGGCGACCATGGAGAGAAACTAACAAGTTAAAACTGAAGAGCATTGTGTATAAAACAACGAAATAATTAAATATGATACATCTCAAAACTCCTGACTATTTGTTCCCGATGTACACTGCCGCTCAAAAGTACGCGAATACTTCCTTAATAGAAATAAATATCTAATAAAAGTTGCGAATCTGTTAATAACAATTATATCATTTATGCATTCGATATGTTTAGATTGCATTAGCGAATATATTTTATTAATAGTTGTTTTTTAATATCACATTAGTAATGATAAAGAAAACTATAGAGATAACTAGATAATGTTACAATTTCTTGGATACTGTTAATATCTTCAGTGTATCCGAAGTAATATTATCTCATCTATTTTGTAATATTTCGCCAGAAATGTCTCTGATAACCAATATGATATATTGAACATTCCCTTTGAACTTTTCTATCTAAACGATCCCATAGTTCCATTACAAAATCGAATACGTCACTTAAAACATTTAACCCATGCATCACACGGAAAAGTGAAAAATTCGTGTTTGTCACCAATATTTTATTTGAATTCAATTTCCAAGTAAATTGCGCGCCTATATGCGCTAGTGATGCAAATAGGTTAATATTATTAAATGTTGTTAAATACTCATCCAACGTAGAATTTAACAACAAAATTTGTACATATAGTAATAATTTACGGTGTATATTAACTATTCATCGAAGGTAGTAAGTGTGCATATTGAACGAGGGTGTACAACCACTTCCTACAGCCATCCCATTTTGATTCTCTAATACTCCACTTTATCTTATCTTTCACAAAAATTATTTCTCAAAGTGAACATCCACGTTCCCCAGTCGCGCCTTCGAGGAAATTACCTCTTCTTCTCTTGACCAAGCGCTCCGTGGTAGAGAGTTAATTTCAACAGTAATTGCCACAATGTTGCGATGACACGTGACGGGAGCGCATCCTCCTATCGTATAAGCCGCGATGAAGGGTACAAAATATGCATGAAGGAGGCTCGAGAGCGAAGTATCCAACCGGAGGCGTGCGTCAGTGAATGTCGATGTCGAGTCGCGGACGTTGATATGGTTGCAAAGAACTGCGGTACCGGCCAACAACGAAGACCGAAGGAGAAGAGAGGACGAACAGCGCCCACAGAGAGAGAACTGGATTCGGTCGACGGGGTAAAACATCGGTCACGCAGGAGGTGGAACGAGGATGGCAAATCCTTTACATGTTCCAGCGAAAAGAGAGGAGATCACCGCTGACGCCACGGTGACCAGACACCGCGTCAAACGTGTACGCGTTGACGTAACGTTGCTTACGAGAAATGCTTGCGCCACGAAGCTTCTTCGACGACGAAAACAGCGAGGTTCGAAAGGGGCCCCCGGGGGTTGCCTCGACGAAGCGGTTTGACTTTCCAGCAGGAGGCACTCGACGTTTGAGAGGCACCCGGAGAGGCACGCTCTGGAGCAACAATGGGCTTTGATAGACAGAAGTTGGGAACTTATATTTAGCCTCGCAGGACAAAAAATTGAGCAAAACTTGGAGTGTACTTTGTATCGTGGGAAATGAACGGAGACTTGGGCTTGCAGGTCGTTCCTCTCGCGTCAAGGTGGTTCGTTACTTTGCTAGGAGTCTCTTCAAGCTCGGGGAGGATGGGTTGTTATTGAGTTTTTAATGTGGCGCGCTATTTTTTTTAATGCGGGGAAAGCTTCGGGATGAGAAATGGAGCGTTACAAGGCAAGGGAAATAGTTTACGCGTTGAGGTACTCCATTTTCTCTGGATCGAAAAAGAGATTCTTTTGGTTTATATACTTGTTGCTTAACCCTCCGAGTGTCGAGGAGCGACATATCGTTGCTCGAAGCTGTAAGTGCTATAACTCATTAAAAAATCTGCAAAACATAACTGCAAAGATTCATTTCAACAGAGAATAAGTTAATAAGTTTATTTGCAAACAAAATTCAAGTTCAAGTCTTTGTGAAAATATTTTCTTTATACAAATTTATTTCTTGTTAAACCTATAACGTTTTATTTTTATTCTTTTTTTTTTAGTAATAAAGGAAGTCTAACATGTTTTTAGTATCGTGTAAAAATTTCACGAACCTTAAAATAAAATTGAATGGAATATACATTTCTGTTTACAATCATGCATCTTTGCTTAAAATTGTCTGGCGTTTCTCGGATATGTATGCAAATTTCCTTTGGCACTCAAAGGGTGAAAGTCTTTAAAATTGATCGAAAAATCGAAGATTCTACTTTGGAAGATTATTCAAGAAAAAAGATTGTATGTAGATTGTTATTTCGTTTTTAACGAAAGGCGCAATTTCCTCGAAATATTGGAAGCACCGTGAAGAGAACTGTAATATTACAAGCTAAGGAATTAAAACTTGGACTACCAGAACAAGACAAGGGACGACATGGTCCGAGTAATCGATGCTCAACGTACCAGCTCCAAACGTCGATCGAGGAACTCAATATCCAGTTAATCGATGCTACAGATAATCAGTTCCCGAGAAATCGATGTCGTGATAATTGAGCATTTTCCAAGGTATCAGCGCACATTTTCGCGCCGAAGGCGTCGGTAGCAACCCAGCACCGACGCAAGATTTGTTGCTGAGAGTTCAGCCTTCCATCCTGTCTGTGAGATTACCATGAAGGTCTCGATGCAATCTTCTTCAAGATCACTATGCAGCGAGAGTTATTGAGTGAAGTCGAGGTAGATATACGACGGTGTGGCTCCACCCTGTTTCCCACTCTGGAAGCTGAGAATTATTAGGATGAACGGTATCGAGCCAGACTAATTGCCTCGAAGTGAGAAACTGGATCTTGGGGATCTGTGAGTTCAGTCGATTATTATCTATGAGACTGGATAAAGTGTATTATTTAGTCAACACTCGTAGATATGAAATACGATCGAGTTCTAGACCTATTTGCGGAATTTTTGTGTGACTGGAGTATGAGGTAGTCCAGGTGATAATAGGAGGGGTTTGAGGCATCATTTCGATGGGGTTGAATTTTTTTGAGGAATGAGAGATATTTATAATTAATGTTAATGAAATCTGCAAATTCCGAGCAATCTATTCAAGAGATTTTCGTGAAATTGTAATATGTCGTAGTCTAGGTGATAAGAAAAGGGGGTTATGGCATCATTTTCATGGAATTCAACTTGTTTATTAACCAAGCTCGAAAACAAGAAGGTTAGGGATTTTTGTGAAATTGTAGTATGTCGTGGTCTAGGTGATAAGAAAAGGGGGTTATGGCATCATTTTGATGAAATTAAACTTGTTTATTAACCGAGTTCGAAAAGAAGAAGGTCACTCAATTCGACATGTAGGTATATATTTTTTTAACCAAATAATTTGAATTCCTTTCCAAGATGACGTAAAGTTCGGCCCATACAGAGTTAAGAATTATAGATCGTCGAATTTTAGGTACATAAAATGTGGAAGCAATCTACACTAAATCGATTCTTCCTTGCGATCAATTTGAGGAACGTTTGCGAAACCAAGATACGAGTTGGAATGATCCATGTAACAATAGGAGGTGTTTAAGTCATCATTTTGTTAAGGTTTAACCCTTTGCACTCGAGAGGTGACTTGAGAGACGTGATTAGGTTTCACGCAGCAAATCTACAGTACCTAATGTTTCTTTAGGTTTAATTTCTTTGGTGCCCGAAGTGTCAATAAAATGATTGTCGGCGAGATAAAGGTGACGTTATTCTCAAATCTAGATTGCTTAGAATTCATGGCAATAGAATGCTAAGAAAGATCTCGAGTTGCTGGCAGATACCAAAAAAAAAGGCCTCGAGTGCAAAGAGTTAATTATATGTATGTAATAATAATATACGTAATAATCCACATCGATGGCAACCTATAATTTCTAAGACGCGAATACCCACGGATCCTCGACAATCTTCACGAATTTACTGTTGCGCCAGGCCGAGTCTCCGCGCCGCACCCTTTCTCGTCGACCTTCCTTCAGCCTGGTTCGTCCTCGTGCTGCTCAATACTGTAAACAACCGGCGGAGAGAACCTTTGGCCGTATGCAAACCGTGCACGTCGTTCCGTGACTGCGTTTTACATATCGTCGTGGTAACGGGCCGATGCGAGCTGCATTCGACCGCGTCTACCGCGAAACCGTCGAGACTCCTGGCGGATTTCTAGAGCCCGGCGAACGCGGACGGGAACCGTGGTCTCTCGCGGGGCTGTGAGAGTGCCACGGCGTGTACCTGAATATTCCGATCGGCTAACTGTACACGCTCCTCCCTTTTCCGTGGCAGAGGAAAATCGCGTGTAAAGGCGCGCGTAAACTCTCCCGACGTGCACGCACCGGTGCGTGTTGGGTAATAAAAGTCGGATCACGAATAGATTCCTCGTTTTCCCGGAGCTCTGATTGTGCGCAGGATTGTGTAACGACGAGAGCGAATTGAAGGGGCTGCCCAAGACTTTGGCCCCGAGGTGTTTCTTTGTAAATCTTTATTTTTCGCGGAGAGTAACGAGAGGATTGAAATGAGAAGCGGTACATTGCGTAAAGTTTTTTTTATGTGAAATGTGGTAGCATTCGTGAATAAAGCGATTGTTCTTTGGGATCGATTCGAGAGATTTTTGTGATACTCGGATATGAGGTGGTCTAGATGATAATAGGAGAGGTTTATGTCATCAATTTGTTATGGCTGAATTTGTTTAAGAAATACAGATTTTCAGATGTATATAAAATATAGGCATTTAAATCATAGTATTATATACGAAACCGATTATTCCTTGCGATCGTGAGGAATTTTTTATGAAACTGGTATATAAGGTGGTCTCTGGAAGGGTTGAGTCATCATTTCGCTGATTGTAAATTTATTAAACAAATACAAGTCGTTAGATTTCATTATGCTTGCGTACTTAAGGGGGAAGTCTGGTACTACGAACAAAATTGACATTACTTCTCACCCTTTTTCAAAAAAATAATAATAATAAACACTTGCCTCGATATGAAAATTTGTATACATATTGCTTTCATTGGTATTTTTATTCATTCAAGCATACAAGAAACAGTAACCTTCTATTACTTCTATATTAAACGTCAATGGATTAGATAAAACATTAGGTGTGTAAATATCTGTACTTAAGGAGGACGTCTGGTACTCCGAACAAAATTGACATTACTTCTCACCCTTTTTAAAAAAAATAATAATAATAAATACTTGCCTCGATATGAAAGTTTGTATACATATAACTTTTATTGCTATTTTTATTCATTCAAGCATACAAGAAACAGTAACCTTCTGTCACTTGCACATTAAACGTCAATAAATTATATAAAACATTAGATATGTAAATAAATTCGTCACTATTGAAATCATGTGCTGGGGATATAGCTTTCAACGTGCTTGATCATTTCGTGTTGCTCACCTAAGAACACGAAAAACGAACAGGATAAAACGAGTGACTGAAAGGATACGTGATTATAAACCGGAGGATCACGTTTCGCACGAACACCACGCATATCTTTACTAATTGTAAGTAATTTCTTGCATAGTAAATGAAAAGGATCTTCTTGTTTCGTCCCCGGAAGCGCTCTGCCTCGAGCTATCATTATGTACTCGAGAACCCCCTTTTAACGCGTAAAGTAATACACGTGAAAGCAAACTGCACGAAGGATGCCTCAAAGTTGAATAACTTTCGCGTGTGTGTTCCATTCGACGGGTTTTTTTGCGGATGCTTTGATGAAACTTTTGTAGTGCAATTTGTGATTTTGTACCTCTTTATGGTTCGTAAATTTCTTCGCGTTTCTGGCAGTTAATGATACATTTCTCTTATTACTCTTCAGGGAACACTTTAAATAATTTATTTTTAATACTATTTAATATAATCGCTGAGAGAAAATACGAAATGTACCTTGACGAGGAAGATGTCTTGAATTTTTATTCCTTTAAACCTTGAACTTGCTGATTTTTTAATTCTAATGTTTGCATTCAGAAAGCAACGAAGATATATTGATACAGGTAATAAATCAATTGTAATTTTGTAATTTCTTTTTAATCTCGTACAAGGAACAAATTTAAGTTCTCCTTGCTACTATAAATAATATAAGTCATTGTATCAAAAATCGATTACGTAAATGAATGATCAAACACTAGCTTTATGGAATAAGACGCGGTTCAACAGATTGCAACAAAATTACCAGTATCATCGTACGTAATACCCAGCTAAATGACCAATAATTACATATACTTTGTAAGAAACTGGTGAAGACAAATTAAAATCCGATAACAATTTTTTCCCCCAACATCATTCAGTCCCCATTAACCGTACTTTACACCAACGCCTGGACGTTTATCTTTGGTATCGTTGCCGCGATTAAAAGCATTGCAATCATTAAACCACAATTAGGACCATCTCGCTGCGAACGGTAACTTCGACAGATCGTCGCCGATAAGACCGTGATTGACGATAAAACACTTCCCGTAAATAAGGAAAGGCTGGCGATTAAAATCCTCGATGGAACAAGCAATTGAGTGCGAATTAACCAACCCGTCGATAAAAATACACTCCTTGCCGAGTAAACATATGCGTAATTTTCGCGTCTCGTGTTTTCTCGCGAAATTCCATCGCTATGAACAACCATGGAATTATTGGTAGATATCGAAGGACGCTGAATATCAGGCAAAATGGCGGAGAGTGAAATTAGTGGTATTCCGAGAGGACAATGTTGCAAAATCAAGATTGAAATGGAATATGGGTGTATTTTAACTTTCTTGTAACTTGAACTTTTTTCTTGGAGTAAAAAGAATATTTTTTCAGGATCTCCAGTTACTTGGTGATCAATTACTTTTTTCATGGATTTGTAATTGTCAACATTGCGAAGAGCTCGTTAAGAATTCTATAAGTACATATACATATGTACAGAATACATACATATACTTTATATATACTTTGTATATACTTTGTGTTTTAAAGGCTCAATTACCTAACTAAAACATCAGAAAAATAATTTATTTTTCTAATGACAAAATAAAATTTACGTAGTAATTGGGTGTCTTGGTTCTATCTTGATCACTACTACTTGTTGTTGCTTAATTTAATTAGAAATGAATATATAGAATAGATTTGCTTCTTTCTCTAAGTCAGCTATAGAATAATTGTTGTATTTCATACCTTCCAATTGCTCCAAGTCGTAGTTCTCGTTGAGATTCCTTAGACTCCAAGCAATTCTCAGCTACGATCCCCACTAGTCCAACCCAAATCTTCCTTAACTCAATTTGGATCGCACAATGAGAACCTCAGCATTCACCTAGAAATATAAAAATGCACATAAAAATCTACAATATCAACATTCTCTAACCAATCAAGAATCTCGCAAAATTAAATCTCTTCCCTTGAATCGACCATCATCAACCCCAGAAGATTAGCTAACTACGCCAATCCACCAAGCTTATTAAAGAATCATCTCTTTGCATTTAGTGCCACAAATGGTTTAAAAAATACAAAACCGTTGTAAACAATCTACTACCAACATTTTTTAATTAATCAAGAATCTCACAAAATTAAATCTCTTCCCTTGAATCGACCATCATAGACCTCAAAAGTTTGGCCAACTCATCTCAATCCTCCAAGCTTACCAAAGAATCGTCTCTTTCAATCGAGTGCCAAAAATGGCCATTTCTAGAGTCCTTTCGTCACGTCGCCGAGGACCCCCGGTATGGTAAAAAACTCCTCCGTGGTGGAACAAAGAAAAAAAGGGGTACGGACGCGGCGAGAGGCCGCCGTGGAAGAGACGGGTACACACCGAAGGACAGGGAAGTAAATAAGTAAATAAACCAGCCGGCTTAGCGAGGAGGTGTCGCGATGCAAATAATCGTCTCCCTCGAGGATTCGAGGCGCGAAAGTGCACGGTGTCTGTAAATATGCACACGGTAATATGCGCCGCGGAACGTGTACGAGCTTTCCCCGGTGCCGTTCCCCTCGTCGCCCCTCGTCACGGTTGTTGGTCCGAATTCTTTAATATTCACGGACCTCTCGTGCGCGCGGTGCCATCTTCTCTCGGCCGGCACCGGGCGTTAAGTAATTTGCTTATTTCTTTTTACTCGCTGCTAATAGCTCCGCCACACACCGCCGCGGTTTTCTTCGCGCGTCGATGCCGCCGGCACCGACGATTTTTGCCCCGGCTCGAATGGTGTCTCGATGACGCAAGGAACATTGTCCGGATTTAAAAATGAAGGATTAGTGCCACTGGTTAATCGCGAGCTAGGTGAACTATGTTTCCTTAAAATAGGGTGAATGGGGCTGAGACGTGGTGGTTGTAGATTGTAAGAGATGAAGTAGGGGTTCGGCGTAAGCGGCTGCAAGCGGAGAAGGTGGCGATTTTGATGTCGAAGGGGAAGAACTACTTGAGACAAGTGGTCTGTCTTAATTCTCTGTGTTATTTTATCTATAACTTATTTATATACTATTTAACTTTTCATCCCTTTGGGAATAAAGTATCTTCTTGTGCATTTAACTATGTTTCGATGATACAAAGTTTTGCTTCTCAAAACGACAAATTGTACAGTATGAACCGTGTTTTTCTTTATTAATGATTCCTGATTTCAAATAATGTACTTGCAACCTCCAATTTACTTAAAACCACGGAAGGTACCGATTTTTATTTCGAACATTGGTGAACTCATCTTCGTTATAGTTGATAGAACAAACACAAACATTTCGAAAGGTTTGCTTTTCCGTCTGAAATTTTCAAGTTACCTTCAAACGTGCCAAATCGCGAAAAACGGGACTAATTCTTAACCAAAGTGCCGCTGCTCGATGGTAAATATAACGTTACAGGGAACAAAGGCGAGCGATCTGATCCTTCTATCGTTAATTGCAGGACTAAAAACTGGTTCCTGCTGACGTGTCCATTTAATGCCGTCGCTAATTAATTACGTCGGATACCTAAGAGAGAATCCGACTTAGATCCACTCTAGCCGTGGATCCGAGCAACGGTTCTATCCGTCGCTTTGTTACGACTAGTGAAACGAGTTTCGAAAAGGATGCGCTTTGAGCTTCGCCATGTTCCCTACGGATCATCAATAAAGGCATCTCGTTAATTACGATCGACGCACGTGCCCGGAGTAAGTGTTTCAAGGTGCACCAGAGCGATCGATTTATCACTTATCGGTGTCGATCGTGTAACAGCTAGATGCACTGGAGAATTAGAAAAATTGTGCATTTTTAAATAAAAGAAACATTCAGGATCAATTTCAAGTGTAACTCTTAATGAGAAAGTGTCTAAATATTATATTATAACGTGTCAAGGAAAAATATTTAAAAAATATATCTTTAAATTTAAATTTCTTTCAAGCTATTGAAAATATTTATCGAAATTTAGCCATAAATTCAGTCCAGGTGTACATAAGTAAATGAAGGATGATTTTCATTCTCTCCCTTCGAAATTGATTTATGGGAACGCTTGTAAAAAATGACACCGATGCTCTTGCGAAGGGATGGAAGAATTCAAGTTGCAAAGAGTTGCACGAGTATGCTTTTCGCCCGAGTGTTTAGCAGAATACGATTTTAACCCTCGAGCAAGCGCACTGTTTTAAATCATACGCGCCGGCTGCGTAGACGTGCGAAACGCACCACCGTAAATTAGGCTTAATTTATGGGGGAAAACAAATAAATTTTGCCGAAAGAATTCGTACGGTAAGAGGCCATTCCTTCTTCTTTAATTTACCCTTTTAATATTCATTGTCGTTTAATAAGCATCACCCAGGCTTGCAATTACTGAGCGTATAATTAAATTGTAACATTTCCGGTACCATATGAATATAACAATTGGTAAGAATTTGTTTCTAATATTACGTGAATATTAATTTGATTAGAATATTGCATTACTCCTACAACAGTATGATTTTCAATATTTTAATATTGTTGTGAGACGTATTTTTATTAATCATAGAATCACTCATATAAGTGTACTATAGTTCAAACAAGCACAGATGATGTTTTGTTTAATCATTCTATGGCCTTACGTTTATTTATTGCTATTTGTTTCCCCCATGCTTCCTGGTTTCTCTTATTAATTTTATTTTCCCTTCGTCGCGACGGAATGTCGCGATCGTCTGCTATTTATAAACCGTTGAAAAAGCTCCGAGCAGAAATACATTAAGGAAATCCAGATTAACATCGTCATTGTAATTCAAATCACGTCGATGCGTTCGATACATCGGGACACTCGTTCGAGTGTTAATAATCGGACGATCGCGTTGAATATTCAGCAGACAATTGTTGACGCCGGGAAATTTCGTCGAATTGTTTATTAATGTACTATAATTGACAGAACGGTTTGAAATTGTTGCTAAAATGTTTCCAAAAATGTACTCATACGGTCAACGACCTTTTAGGCGACATTCAAATCTGTATTGCTGGGAGACGTTTGTGAAGAAAAATAATAATAAAAGACATCATTTACAGATATATTTATGCAGTAAAATATTTTCGAAAAATAGTAGCAAAGTCTAAATTCTTCCCATATAAAAATGTAAATACCAATTTTCTATGACCTCATAATTAAAAAATAAAAACATCATCAACAGCTCCTCAAGAAGATCATTTATAATTAGACTCGCCACAACATTGAAATAATTTAACTTTTAAACTTGAAAAGACCAAAGAAATTAACATTTTCAACGGAAGAATTGACGAATAAAAAGATACACATGAATTGCATCCCTTCTACCAAGAAATTTATCATTCCAATTTACAATAGTCTCAAGAACCAAGAACCCAAAAGTCAATTTATGGCTCAGATTACTCGCAAGGTCCTCCATCGATACTTTTATCAGCCACTCGATCAGTTTTAATTAGAAGCAATGATTTTCCTCTGATCGTTTATTACCCGGCGCGTATGTAGAATAAACGAATGCACGAATAAGACAATGCAATGGCCGAAAGACTGAGCGTAATTCTCTTTAACGAGCACGTGCCTTACGAACATATGCCCAGCCGTAAACCATAACGCTTAATACGTACACGTAATGGCTGGCCGCGTGCATTCCTTCTTGCGTGACCCTCGTCACACATATGAATCATAAATCATGGCCGTGTTATATTGCGGATTTGCAAACAGACTGTAAGCGTCGAAGACGTCTTTCGCTATTTGAAAATTTACGGCTCTATTGATGCGTTACGTTCCTTTATTTACTTAGACGGGAAATTAATTTGACGTATTTGACGAACTCTCGAGTGGAACGCGTTTGTTATGAGGAAAATTCATCTAGACGATGGACAATGGATAATTCATCATAATTACGTTCATATTTTCCCATTGGTGGTTAATGATATTCCAATGCTTGAAGGTAATATTTGCGAAATTCGATGTGGGGGTTTGTATGCTGCAGAAAAAGTTTTTTGAAAGAGAAACTGAAATATAAATAGGTATATACAAAACTGAATATCATGTATGAGAATTTATAAATAATGTATATAATATATATATAATATAATAATCAACTAAACATACATATATCCAGATTATATATTATATTATTATACGTGTAATCAATCAAATGGATAATACAATATATACAATATAAATTTATATATTGTCTGGATTATTTATTTATTTTATTAATATTATATAAATTATACGTGTTATAATTTTATTATATATATATGTTTAATTGATTATTTTTATTATGGTTGCCACAGGACAATATATTTTTTAAAAAAATTGAAATATATATATACAGATTATATATTCTATTATTATTCGTATAATCAATCAAATGGATATACAATTTGTAGAATACAATTTTAGTTTCATATATTATATTACATATAATATTCAGTATTATGTTCATATTTCAGTTTCCTCTTAAAATAAATTCTCCTGTAGCAAGCAAAATCCACAACAAAGTTTGCAAATGTATAATAACAACGAATAATAATTTCTTCTTGTATCTAAACCTTCAAACAGGAAGTACTTTTCCTCCAAAACTAATCATTTCAATAAATATTCATTGGACTAACGTCTAGTTCTGTCAGTCACTGAATTATACCATAGTTCCTTAATAAATGCAGGTTCGCTCAATCACATCAAAATAATTTTTGACTATCGGTTCTTGTAACAGGACTCGTACGGTGTGTCGGAAAAGTATGCGGTCATATTTATACAGCATGTATTAATGGAGTCGAGCATATAGAAAGAATGTATACGAACCCATGTCAGCGAATGTATTATTCATAAGTTACACGATAATATTTGCCACCGCGAGCCGACGTTCAAATTAGTGATTGGTGTTCGAAAGTTGTTCCTTATATAAAAATACGAACTCATATTCGTCGAACTACGGTCAAGCTCCGTCACGTTTTTAATACTAAATTTGTTACCAATCTGCTTCTGAGTCACAGATAACTCGGAAAGTTTAAGAGGACACGTCTTTTTCCCTCTGGTCTGTAGAAAATGTTTAGGCTTCGTTCGTTCCAAGAATTCTTGTATTAAATAACGCCTCGGAAATATCGATGAATACGATTTGACGAACTTCCTGCTTTTTTTTCTATGTCTGAATTATTGCATAACGCGAATACCGTGAATGATTCGTCTTAAATGTCCAAGGCGAGGGATTGCTGCAATTTATCGTATCATTTGATACGTAATGACTAACAAACAGAATGTAATGTTATGTAACGCTGTGTACGAGGGTCATTGGTCATTCAACCTAGTGTAGCATTGATACAATATAGTTACTGATTGGACTACGGAAACATGCAGCCTGACATGATTACCTTGGCTATCTACGTAGCGTGTGAAAGTACGTATTCTATCTAGTGCCAAGCGATAATATTAATTTAGTACTCGGTATTCGATTCTACATAGTTACTATATATAATATTCACAAATTTTGTGTGTAATGGAATTACACAATCTTCAAAGAAGAAGGGGGACAGAAATAGTAAAAATAATTGATAACTAAAACATATGTAACGCGTGTATAAAAACTTATATGTATACTTCTTGTTTATTTTCTTTGTTTTAGATGTTAGTTTTAGATAGGGATTTAATTTACGTATTTACGAATATTTTAATTATAAATTATTTTATTATTTTTGTTTCTTCTTCCTCTAATCTTACACAGATCATCAAGAGTCCTGAAGAATAGACATGATTCAAATAAATATAAAAATAATTAAAAAAAAAGATATTTTTTGAAGTTTAAAATAAAACTCATCCAATGGAGAGTCAACAATATCCTTAGATTGAGAAAATTCGGAGTTCCTTCGATATTTCTGCCTCATATGATGCATCAGCCGATATTTTCGCTTCGCATCAACGAACAATCTTCTAACAAAGATGTAACGTAGTATTCTCATTAGTATAATGCTCTCCATACTACAATTTGCGTAATGTGTCTTAATAAATTCAATTGCTCCGGCTAAGCAGATGTCTCTCGGTGTGTAACAACATAACGCTGGCCGGTGTATATAACAAGCGATGAGATCCAGCATCGAGCGGTCTTCCATATAAAAGTACGTGCGTAGTCTAAGCATCGCGTCTAACAACGTGGATCGCATTACGGAGCGTGAATCACTTAATATTAATCTAGTACAGCCACGGCGAACATAGTCTACGACCACATCCATGATACGATGATTGCCCCGTTCGTGGCTTGCATGTTTGCTAGGAACCCTAGAGCAGACAAACAATGTACGTCCGCCATTTTGAGTATCAGACGTCCAGACAAATAAATGTACATCTCGACCGGGTATGATTAATACGAGGATGTGTCATTAAGCACTTGTACGACGAATGGCGGAGGGAATCTAATACTTTGCACTCAAAGCATAATTTTCAGTTAATAATCTAGCTAAAGCTAAAGCACATCTTAGTTAACATCTATCACTCTTCAAAGTTAACTTGGAAGCATAAATTCGAGTTCATATTGGACGAACATTTTCATCAATTCCATTATAATTTTCTTCCTTTCGATTCAGACACAAAATTTAATCTAACATCCAGATTTTACTGTTTTTAATGCAAAATTTATGTTTTATTTTCTAGCTAAAACTAAAGCATTTTTTAGATATCTATAATTTTTTTAAATTAACTTAGAACCATACATTTGAATTCATATTGAACGAACATTTTCATCAATTCCATTATAATTTTCTTCCTTTCGATTCAGACACAAAATTTAATTTAACATCCACATTTTACTCTTTTGAATGCAAAATTTGTGCCTAGTTTTCATCATACCTCAAGTCATATTCAGGAATAATTAGATACCAGAGAAGATATTCCTGAAGAAGACGATATAGTATTAAACAACAATTACATAAATATAGTACCCATGAAAGAAAAATTTCCAATTGAATTCCTACCTAAAACTGACTTCACTTTAAATGATTTACACCAATCTCTATTAACCCTTTGCGGTCCGAATTTTCTGATTTCAGTACATTTTTGTCGAGCCTCACTCGACATTGGACCGCAAAGGGTTAAACTGACTTGACTCTTACTATCGATACAAAAAACCATACAGCAGATCTCGAATGATACCAATAAGGAAAATAATAGCTCCTTCTAATTCCGAAGGAATGAAACTTCTAAACGCCACCCATTCGTCAAAAAATGCCATCGTTCGAGTGATTCGTCCATTGAAGTCTACGCGAAGTCTGGTGCTCGAAGTCAGGTTCGTTGGCTCGCGAGAGACACCGCTAGGAGTCTGAATGGATTAGCCTCAACGCGGAAAAACGAACGTCAGGCGTCACGAATGTAAATTCATCCTCGTGTCTGCGTGGCATCGCGGGGCATAACGCGTGCGTTATATAATAACGAATGGTAATGAAAAGCATTGGCCAGTAGTGAAAGGCTGGCTTGTGACGGGGCAGAAACGAGAGACAGGTTCAATCGTCGAATTAGACGCGCTCTATCTTCGTCCACGGAGCGGTTTCGTGCGGTGACTCGTTCGCAGACGCGATTACTGCAATAATATGTCGTTACACCTACTTGGGTCAATGGCCCACTTCTCACGGGAGGGGAGGGGACCGTGTAATGTATTGCTCATTTTTCATTCTGACAGCCGTCGACGCGTACGCGTCCCGATGAAAGGATTACGCAATTCGTCCATCGTCCACGTGGGGATAAACAACGAGGGTGAAGGAACCCTTTGATGTTTGGACGTTTATACTTTTCCGGTTTGTAACTTTAGGACGAATTTCTGAGAATTCAGAATTTCTGAGAATTGCCAGAGGGGATTTAAAGCGATATAAAGAATTTTCTTGAAAGGACCAAAGATTAGAACGATTAGAGTTGTAACCGAGTTCTTGAAAGCCATCAAGCTCGGAATATAACACTGTAAATAAATCATGAATCAATCATGGAATAAATAAGTATAAATTAGTCATAAGGCATAAGGCTGTGGAAAGCAACACAAAGATTGAGTAACCCTCTGACTCTCTTATACCTCAAACTATGTAATAAATATATTAAATATATATGTATATAAATATATATTAAGCATGGTACAAGGGCTTATGAACTAGCGATGATTCAAAGCCATTTTTTTGTTTCTAATAAAAAAAAAATTATTTATGTATATACAATTGGGGGGGGGGGTTATACCTCCCCCGTATAAGCTCCTGATATGGTTTTAAAAAATATTGGGTTTAGAATGTTTCTACCTTGATGTGCGAGTAATTTTTTCGATTGTTAAGTGAATTGCTGTCTTTGGGGATGTGATGCAAGTATCGCAATTTGAAAGATATAGGGTTGGAATGTTTTTGACTTATTATATTAATTTAATTTAACTGATAAAAGTATTGCTTTGATTATCATTGGATTTGTATATAAGAGGTAGTTATAGTTTTATACTAAAAGAAGATTCAAAATTCAGTAAAATTCTAAATTAGGTGGACTGGAAAGTAATGTAGTTTCTGCGGATCTCAATACTTATTTATCATTCATCAGCTGATTGATTTTCACCGATCCGGTATACGAAATTTGAACACTATATTTGAAAAGGCTATCGATAACGAAGGTGATTGCATAATTGATTAAAAATAGAAACTTATTAAGAATGTATCTGTTTGAGTTGCATGTAAAAGAAATCACATTACTTTTCGGTCCTCCTAATAAAATAAATTGTTTTACAATGCAGTGTTAAACTACAGTTAGAATGACAAAAACATTTCAAAGGTAAATGATGGAAGAAAGAGAACCCCTAAAATCAAACGTCAAATAATTTATCTCCGATAACTAATAATATCCTTAACCTCTGTCTAATAATACATAATAATTCCTTATCCCTCCAAAAATTGTAAAAATTCCAAATATAAAATCTCGGAATGCTTCAAACATTCTCCTATTTATGTTTCAAACACGCTGTTATTTTTTTATTTCAGAGAACGCAGATTGCACGACGATTCGTTGCCGCGAGGGTCAGACGTGTCTGACGGAGATGAAGTCGGGTCGACCACGTTGCGTGACCTGCACCTATCGTTGCCCCAGGAAGCGCGAGCGCGTCCGGAACCGGACGCACCGCGATCGGGATCCATCGGCGACCATGTTGTGCGCCACCAACAATATCACCTATCCCAGTTGGTGTCACATCGTCAAGGACGCCTGCGTTACCGGCTTCGTCCTCGAGACGCGATACGCCGGCCCCTGCAACGCCTACGACACCTCTCCATTTTACATCGGTAAGTCCCTTGGCACGCGATTACGTGGATGAGCTCGTAGTCAATGAATGCTGCTCGTTTCCTAGCGAAACTGGTTGATAAGCAACTTAGCCCGATGATTCGCTCCGCAAGCTTGTCGAATAACTTCGTTTCCATTCGATAAAGCCCCGATTTAACAAGGCCCGATTTAAAGGAGTAGTAAACCCTTGAAATCCCCCGGGAAACCGTTATTGAGATTATTACGTGTTCCATTTGGACGGAGCATTCACCGTACGATGAGCAATAAACTTGGTAAGTTTCATGTTATCGTCGGTTATTCAGTTCTTAGGAATGCCGGGATAAAGGAAGAATGGTGTTTACAATCCCAAGGCTTGGCTACCACCTTATATGCTTATACTGTACTGAGGCCCTTGGTACCCTCACCACGGCCATTTTGTGATCGGAATTTTAAGATGTTGTTGTTTTGATATTGGAGTGAAAGCAGAAATGGATACTCCAGGCTCTCTTTAGGACGGAATTAAATATACAATTTATAGGGGATCTATGATAAGGAAAATCGAAGCAACGGGAAGAGGCAGTATAAAATGGTTGAAGCACAAAATACTCGAGGTGTCTCTAGAATAATTCTCCAATACTTCGTACTCTTCAAGAAGCGACAGAATCAAATTTCATCTTTAGCTGTTCCTTCTCGAGAAGCAATGTAAACAAACGTCCACGAAAACCATTACACACGATGGGGATACCTGGTAACAATTTTCCAAGTAAACAACAGTATCTACAATTAATTAACCCTTTGAGTGCCAAGGAGCGAAATATCGTTGCTCGAAGCTGCAAGTGCTATAACTTATTAAGAATGACTCCAATAACAATAGAGGCCCAATCAAAAGTTCCGGTCTTATTTCTTTAATATACAATTGTATGTGAACGCTTATTTCAAAAGCATACGTCTACATATAACAATGATGAATAAAGAAAAAATAACTGAAAAGATTAATTTCAACAGACAATAAATTCTGTTTATTCACAAAGAAAATTCAAGTTCAGGTTTTCGTGAAAATATTTTCTTTATACAAATATGTATTTCGTTAAACCTATAACGTTTTATTTTGATTTGTTTAGTAAGAAAGGAGGTCCGACATGTTTTTAGTATCGTTCACGAACCTTAGAATAAAATTGATCAAAATATTTTTGTTTACAATGATGCATCTTCGCTTAAAATTATCTGGCATTTCTTGAACTCCCCACAAATCCCTGCGTTCAAGTAAAGGAATAGCTAGTAAACAAATGGTACGAGTTGGTAGCACGTTCGTACCTTCCACCGTCCTCGACTATGCTGGATGAATTATACGTCTGTCGCGTAAACAGTTGGAAGATGTCACCAGGATAACGCGTCGGGAGGCATCAGCATGACGGATGCGCGCGAAGAGCGTGTCGAATGGTACGCGAGGCGTTTCAGCAAATTCGTTAAGTTCCGAGCGTTCCCATGGCCGGCCGAGCGGGGCGACAATGGTAGGAAGCGTATGAGAAATGAGATTGTACGGGAGAACGACACGCAAGCGGAACTCTAGAATTCCACGGCTAGTTCTCCGTCGAGTTTTCGCGATTGACTGTGTTTAACGGGCGAGACAAGCGAGCGCGTGGGCGCGTATATTCTCAGAGGCGACTCGAACAAGGCGAATTCCAGGCTGGATTACGACGATCGCTCGCTCCGCGGACGGCTTCGTGAATGGTCCACGCCTCCGAAGGAAAAAGATAAATGACCAGACGCAGTATCCCGCTTTATCACGGCATGGGAAACGCTCGTGGCCCTCACGGCGTCCTCGATTCCTCGCTAAACGCGAAACGAAATCAGGATGAAACGTGTCGACGGACGCATTGGGTGCTTTCCAATTGCGATATACCTAGACGCTATCGTACACACGACGACACCAGGTGCGTTCCAATTGCTGTAATCATCGACACAACGCTACTATGTAAACTTGTGTGTGTGCGTTTTTTTATTTACTTATTGTCGGATCAGCTTGTAAACCATTTAGCGACCGTACTTGTACTAGAGATCATGTTTTCCAGTGACGCTTAGTTGAAAGTTAGTAACACTATAAAAAAATGTTACGATACGGTAACATTCAAGTTTTTTGAACTTGAACTGGTATCAGCAGAGGTAGACGACAAATCAACAGCAATTGCTATAATTATATTATCTTCCATGTCCGATTATGACACATTATGTGTATTATTTTTAAGATTACACAGGGTGTCCCAGAATTTGTGTAGGAACCGGCAATGAGGGGTAGCTGAGACGATTCTGAACTATAATTTCCTTTGCAACAGTGTCGGATGGTGCTTCGTTTTTGAATTATTAATGAAAAACTACCGATCAATCACAGTGCCTCAGCTGGTTTGACGTTCTGGCTCGAGCTAGCCACTCACGACTGAGCGCGCGCTACTCGGGCTCTGTGATTGGTCGGTGGTTTTAATAATTCAAAAACGAAGCACCGTCCGACATTGTTGGAAAGGAAATTATGGTTCAGAATCGTCCCAGCTACCCCCATTTCTATTAATACAATTAATATATACCATAAATTATTACTATACAACTTGTGTTGCTAAATTCTGCATTGGATATCTATTTAACAACATTTAATAATATTAAATATTTCGAGTCCCATATTCAATTTTATAGTGAAACTATGGGATCGTTTAGGTAGAAAAGTTCAGAAAGAATATATAATATATCAAAAACGGTCATGGCGAAATATTACAAAATAAATGAGGAAATATTACTTCAGATACAATGAAGAAGTTAATAGTATCCAAGTTTGGTAAAAGAAATTAATAACATTATCCAGTTATCTCTATAGTTTCATTACTAAAAGAATTATTAATAAAATATATTTGCTAATGCAACATAAACATATCGAAACAGATGATATTATTGATATGAATTCAATCGCTACTTTTATTAAATATTTATTTCTATTAAGAAACTGTCCACATACTTCTGCGCGAGTGTGTATGCGTCAAGATGTGTTAAGCAATTGGAAAGCATCTATTGTTACTATATCTGGTCGTGGGGGAACGTTGGCTACGAAACGGACCACGATGGATTCTTTTCCAGCCGAGACTTGCCAAAGGTAACGCGTCCCGCTTCGATACGGATGCGCGAGTATCGGTATCGGATGAGTGGAGAATGCAGACTCGGTTACGACGAGCACCGAGCTGTGGGGGAGGAAGGGGTGGGGTTCAACAACGTTTACTCGTTGTAACCATTATTCACTTTATCAGTGTTGAGTTGAATATCGTTTTGTTTAATTCTTAATAGTAGATCCAATTTAGATCAATATAGTCAAGCAAGGGTCTAAAAAGAGACGTCATCACCTGATTACATGATTACGTTGATAGTTAAATATGATACTGCAAGTTCGTTATGGAAGTAGAATTAGCATACACGTACATCTCGTATGATTCTTGAATTTGTATTATATGATCATCAGGTCTTTACTTGGAACATTTTACGAGGCGGATTTATAATTACTTTAGGTGGACACGTGGTTGGATTAGGATAGAAACCGTTTGCGAATATATTACTGGTTATAAATCCCGATTCGCTAGTATGGAGGTTTTTTGATAGGGGTTGGGAATATAGAGTATACTGTAGGTAAGAAACGATAATGCAAAACACCTGGTCGGTACGACGAATTGATTTATTGGTAGCGCAGTAAATGTGTGTGAAGTTAGCCCTGCACTTTTCGAATTTTTAGTTTTTCTTTCTTGTGCCGTATTGTGCTATATTTGTGCCGAATTGTGCCGTAAATAAGACAACGATAACATCAATAACAATTAAGAAAAGAAATAAGGGAAATAAGCCGAAGCTGTCGGCAAAGATCAAACAATGTGGGAACTTCATGATAAATGCACACTTTCAATCCCGAACTTGTGCAGTTATCGAGGCATTACTGCACTCCGCTACCCGCGAGCGCGTACGAATGCGAATGCAAATTCTTAACGTCTGATTCCTAACTTTGCCAACGCTGCGAAATCTGGCGATCTGACGAGATTTTGTAATTAGGAACAGTTGTTGTGCTGGTCTACCACAATCCGGCACAATCGAAGAAAATTCGGAAATATCAAAATTTTTAATCACCGCCACATTTTTTTTCTTAATTTTTATTGACTCTCGAGCTAATCTCAATTTTTAACGCACGTGTCTCGGGTATTGTAAGTAGCACAATTTAGCACAACTTGCAGAATTCGATTTTCTGTCGTCGTTCGCAAATTGTGCGAATATTAAATTTTTGATTCCATAAAATTCAACATTTTTTATCTGCAAAATGAGTGGAGATAACGAGTTTCTATCAATGCCGCAATGTAGCACAAGTTAGTACGCATCTTTCTGTAGAAAAAAAAGTTTGTTTCGGCAAAAGTGCGGGACTAGTATAATTTTGGTTTTATTTCTTTTCTTAATTGATATTGATGTTATCGATCTCTCATTTACGGCACAATTCAGCAGAAATACAGCACAACACGGCGCAAAAGAGAAAAACTCAAGATTCGAAAAGTGCGGGGCTATCAAAAATTTGGTTTTGTTCAATTTTCTTTAGTAAGCTTTGACTTACAGAGTTGCGGTTTACGGCACAATTCAGCACAAATAGAGCATAACACGGCACAAGAAAGAAAAACTCAAAATTCGAAAAGCGCGGGACTAACTTCACATGCGCAGTAATGATATTATCATAATTGAGATGAAATATTTTTAATAGTGGCTAACTCGTATATTTATCCCTGAGGACTCCTACATTTTCTTCATTTCTTATTGAATTGTCACTCCGAATCTCTGGTTTAATTATTTTCTTTATCATCGTCACGGTATCCAAGATTGTTGACAATTGTTATCGCGTAAAAGGGAACGAATGCAGCCGAACAAATTCAATACATAATATTTTCGTTCTTCCAAATAGCTCCATAAACTATCGAAAGACATTCCCTCGTCCGAGCCAGCACGTTTGCATGGATATAGAAACCTGTTGCACGTGGCACAGAAACGAGAAGCTTTACGCATCGATTTATAGCACTCTAAATTGACCATTTTGAAACGGAATTTACGGTCTTATACCGAACGCAAATGTATAACATTTCGAACACGAACAAAATTTATAGAAACCAGTAGTTTAACTTGTCATGTAAATTTTCAGTAACAAAGTTGCATTCGCTCGCTCTATATAAAACCACCGTACTAATAATTATCCTACCGATATTTATCGGGCAATTTCACACGTGTCTTTAATCTAAAACTGAGCTATTTGAGCCTCTATTATGGCTACTGAAAAGTTTCCCAGGTATTCAAGCTGTAAAAGTTTAACTACTTAGTAGAAGATATATTATCTTCGATACGGCTACTTAGAAACACGATTACTTCCAGATTATACTCAATGAAAAATGCTGCATATATTTGCATTCACAGCAGCGCCCCGCGAACGCAATTGAACGCAAGACTCTTTTATGCTGCATACACGAATGAATCGTAATTGCATCAGGAAGTGATACAATGTTCACTGTTGCGCAAACTATAAGAGAGATTGTAACACGTTCCTGAACAGTAGTTTTTGAATAGTTCGCATTGTCGCTACGCAGTTAACCATAGAGACAGAATAACGGTGAAACATTTGCGCTTGGATTCGTATGCGCGATCAAATTGGACTCTGCGACGCGTATTTGATACAATTATTAATATTTGCATGTTAGAGGTGGGGATAAGTTCGATTTTATGAGCTTTTCATGATTCGAGCTTTACTCGGAAGGAAGCTCAAGTCGGCTCAAAATATTTTCCAAGAATTTATATTTAAAGACTCGAATGAATATTATATTGAAACCTAATTGGCTTGAGAAGTTAGAATCACTTGAATCACTTGACTTTGTCAAGTCCACATGACGTCCAAGTCATTCGCCACCTGACTCGAGACTCCACCAGTCTCGCCTTGCTTGAAAGTTTACAAACGAAGACTTGAAGACCCGAATCGCTATTCTGCCAACGTAATAACCTTCCTTCCCAATCAATTTAATAACAATCCCTCCAATCGATCGTTCGATCATCATAATAACGATCCCGTTTGCTTGGCCGTTTGTTCCAGAGGAGGACAACACCTCGAGCAACTATGGCGTTGGCCTGGCGGACGAAGACGCGAGATTCAAGGACGCAGAATCGAAGTCCTTGTCGTACAACGGCCAGACGCATCGTTCCCTGACATTATCGTAGCGCGCGATCGATCGCGATCGATCGATCCACATAGCTGCAAGATAAGTCGTAGGATCCCTCTCTGTCTCTCACTCTCTCTCTCTGTCTGTATCTCGACTGTTTAGGGGAATCCCACGGAGACGACGCGCGAATTTCGATGCCTGGCCATCGATGCGCGATCCTCCAGGGATCTTGAGGACGAGAAAAACGACGGCAAACCGGACACGTCGCGCTTCCTGAAGCCGGGAGGATGCATTTTGAACGCGTATGGCCATTAGTTCTCGTGAACGAGAGGCTCGCGCGAGATAAGCTAGATTAAGGGCAGATCAGTATTCTTTTCTCCGTTTTACGGAGCGAAAAGCGCGGAGGTACGGCGAATTAACGACGAATTAATACTTTCGCAGTTGCGAAAGTGGGGTTAGGAGAAGCTGGAAGAAGTCACGAGTCAAGTACCAGGGGAAACTTGTAGGTTGGTTGACTTATGCTGGAGGGCAGCTGTTAGCAATAAACAATCTTTTGGTATTATGTTAACACATTGTTGACCGGCAATTTTATATAGAAGCGACTTCGTGTCACCGGCTATTATTTCGTAATTGACTGTGAAGTTGAAACAGTCTAAATAAACTCCAATAAACTTTATTTATATTCCATCGACATAACGATCTGAAATGAAAAACCGACAGGTCTAAACGCAATGAGCAAAGCTTCTGCAATGTTTTATATCGCTTTGGATTTCGTACATTCAAATAGATAATACAAGTGCAGACACGAGTTTACTCGTGACCGGTCAACAACGTGTTAAGTCATCCCATAAGTTCGTGCTGCAGACTGTGTCGATATTTAATTAAAAAACTACAGAAATTTTATAGTGACGGTATTAATGACTATGTCATAAAGGTGGGAAAATATTGTAAAACGAGAGAGATTACCTTTTTTTATAACACTTAAGGGTATGTTTTACATACGAATTCGAGTAGCAGAGGAATAAGTGGCATGATCTTGCGGGACGACCTAATACAATTGTTAGGGCAATGTAGGATGATCAGTGGCCTACCAGCTCAGATCACCAATCATCACAGGCATATATTCAATCTTCTACCGATGAAGCAAGCTTGACTAGAATGGTTATTATTTTACAGTTTACATGAATTTCAAGGATGATTAATTCTGGAACTTCCCATTTAAATCGTTTATTAACCTTTTCGGTAGTTTGCGCGAGTATACTCGTCAAATTATTTTGTTCTTGTCGTGCTCAAGAAGAGATAAATCGCATGAGCTTTTTAAATAGGAAAGAGCACAAGACGAGTTAACTCATTAACTCGTTAACAATAACTTCATCCAATTTAACTCGTCTTGAGCACAATAAGAACAAAATAATTTGACGAGTATACTCGCGCAGACCACCGAAAAGGTTAAGAGCAAGGAGGACAATCATGTAGTCTTCTCCTTTGACATATTTCGAGGCCATTCCCTGATGACCCAAGTCCAAGTGGCACTGTTCCATCAGACTCCCACGCGAAAGTGTTAAATATCGTCGGAAAAACTGTTTCGTCACCTTCAAGGGACTTTCGAAGTTAGTTTTTCAGGCGTAGCGATGTACTTGTTATCACTCGAGGAGCGTAGATCCCAGACACTTTGAATCGTAGAGCTCAAAGAGGATAGGACGCACAGTTAACTTGTTCATTGCATAAACCATTTAACACACTCGCAGAGTTCTAATGGTCTGAATAAATTTCAACGGGCGTCGCACGACCGTCCATGATCGAAGCCTGCGTACTCTCGCGAAGGTTCATTCGTCCGCAAACTGAGCCCAACTCTGGCGCCGCTACTAAAGAAATCATTGGAAGAGGAACGAGATTCCAGCACGACGAGGAATTTTGTGAAGGAAAATAGCGATGCGTGAGAAACGAGAAGCGATGGGTTAATTAGGTATTGTTTATAATTGTTTATTTATTTTGAAATATTCCCGGCCTGCTGAAATCTGTAGGGCCTGTTCTGTCCAGAATCGTTTTCAAAGGTAAACTGATCACGAAAGGAACTCGTTTCTAATTTACGTACACATCAAACTTCGACGAACGGGAGAAATTGACTATTCGGCGTCACGTGGCTCGTCGAATTTATTTATTTTAAAAGACTTGCATAAATCTGAAGAGTCGATAACGAAGGTACGGAGGTTTTAACGATACGAACCTAAATTCTCGTCGGAGTGTTTTATTACCCATGCGAAGTTACGGTACGCTTCGTCGGAAGAAAAATCAGCGAATTTTAAACGATATCAGATTCACGTTGCGTGGGATGTTATCACAGGAATGGTCACGTGAGGCCGTGGTATTCGTGAAAAAAAAAAATAGAGGATTAAATAGAGGACTAATTTCGCGGCGAGTCAGTATTTATTATTCAGCGTCGCGTGACGGAGGCACGTAGATTCACACTCGACGAATAAGCTGAAACCCGATTAACCCGTCTGAATGCAACTTTTCAAGCATAAATATTTATATGCACTCGTGTGGAGCATTCGAAGTTATTAAAACATTCTATTCAACTCGTAAAACTGTTTGATTTAAGGAACCGTGGAAGCCATTTGTTTGAAAATTAATGAATTCTCTTTCGTTCGCTAGGCTTGTAAAAAAAAAACAAAAAAAAAAAAAACAAACGAACAAAACGTTCGATTGCTTGTAAAAATCGTACACCGTTGAATATTTAATGGACAGGTCATGGACAGGTTGAGCGAGTTGCAGATTTGCAGTATTTCTTTTCTTATCGAAGATTTAGAACGCTCGGCGAATGATCGGTACGCGAACCTTACGCGCTCGAATTCGCGGATACTGTTTTTCGATGGATCGACGATCGCGTTACCGAGTGAACAATCTCGATCGGCCCGTCAGTATTCTTTTTTATCGCGTAGTTTCTGTAGTTGTATTCGGGAAAATAATTGTAATTGTTTCCACTTTCTTTCATATTTTATCGCGACAGTTTTCTGCGCGGATGTTGCAAGGGGGTGAGGAGGATTGTCGCGACGATTCGATTTAAGTTTAAGAAAGCATTATCGTGTAATAAATTATTGGAACGTCGTGTGTTCATTGATTTAACTGCTTAGCATTCTAAGATCGATATTTACGTTTAACGAGTAACGGCTTTCGATGGTAGAATTTTCGTTGAGTTAAAGGAACGTACTTTTTCAGTCCAATGGGCTTATCATTATTCTCGGTATCTGGGTATAACGTTTTTAATTGAAAATAATTGTAATAAAATAAAAATATTGTGAAATGTTTCTATACGATACTAAAAAATCTGACGATTTCGCTATCGCGATATAATATCGAAATAAAAATAAATGTAAAAATACAATTATTCACAGACACTGTCACGAGAGCTGAAAGTGTACGACTGTACGTCCCGCTTGCAATCCTTTCGATTAATATTTTTTAAGCGACAATCGGAATTTCGCGAAGGAAATTGGGTGTCTTTCGCGTCTATGAATTTTATCTGATCCAAGGGAGGTATTTCACGCTTAGAAATGACGCTTGACGATCCGCGCAGCCGTGTTGGGCGCGTTTTGAAACCGGGCGCGAAAATATTATACGGTCTATATCTATATCTTCGGCATTAGTATACAACAGTTTCGTTCCAAGTGCCTCCAGTCTGGCGCCAGTAGAATTCACATAATATTCGTACTTAATTTATTTTAGTTTTACGGCCAGCGTTAAGAGCTGCACTTATTCGCGCGCAATTTTATCGACCGCTGTCACGTATCTGTCACTTTTTTTTCTCCTATTTTTTTTTTTTTCATTTCTCCATAGGCAAACGTATATTGTCGATGCAATGCGCGTGTCATTTTCTCGCTACCGCGACATAGTTATGGCGCAGGTTCGTTAAGGAGGGATCGCCGTGGCAAATGGAATACCGAGACGACGAATAATTTATCGGGAAATGATAGACCAGGCGCCGACATTTGTGTCACGGCGATAATTTATAAGCGTTATGAATCTTCTGTGATTCCATTAAAATCCGTGGTAAGACATACCTTCGTTAGGTCTGACATAAACTGTTTCCTTTCCTCGTAGAGGTGAAGTAACTCGGGTACTTGGAAAATATTTTACTCGCGGGAATATGTGAATGAGAAAATGTTAGGTGAAACGTGTAAATGCGAATTTCTTTTTAGGGTTCTAGTATCTTAATGGGGATGTCTGGTAGTTCTGTCAGTTTTATTTGAAAATTAATGAAACGTAACCCAGATCAGATATAACTATTTGAGTCGAGAAGTTAGTTTATGGAGCTTCTGTGAATCTGAGAAAATCCGTGGGAAGGCTCGTTGGTTCTAATTAAAACTGTCTCCCTGAGGGAGATGAAACTGCTCCAGTAAATACCTCATTTGAGGGAATACATAAATGAGCGAAAGTGAGGTGCAACTTAAGAATATTAATTTTGGTTGTTGTAACATATTTGTTATTGGAAAATTAATATATACCTCTTGAATGATATACTTCTGTCTATCGACTGCGTAAGTTTTATTTAAAAATTTATGAAGTTTAATGTAGACCTGTTGGGAAATTAGTTTATTTGTGTTATGAATCTCCTTCGACATATAGAATTAATTTAAGTAAATATAATTTAATTAAATATGCATCTAGTTCAGACAAAAATTTGATGCATACCTTATAAAATTATTTTTGGTATATTCTGCTCGACATTTCAGAACATGCTAATTCAACAAAATGTTATTTGAAGTGACACAATTTTTTTTTTATCTCTGAACGATTCATAGCCAAATTTTTCGCTGCCTCTACAAATTAATAAACAGAGGTTTAATTGCTATATTTATTTTAAAAGTGATGTACGGTCACTCTTGGTTATAAAAACACTGTTTTATTTCGGTATTGCCAGAAATGGTCATATAATAAATTTGCATACGTTTCAGATCACAGAGAGATAAAACAAGCGTATTAGCATTTGGCAATAATTCGGAATCGAACGAAACGCGAATTCTTAGATGTCTAGAAGTGAGAAAATTTGAAATTGCGCTGCAATAAAAAGAAAAATTGGCTCGTATAATTTTTTCTGCTTACGAGACCAGACTTTTATACTCCATGGTAGCTCTCGAGGCTTCTCCAATTATTTCTTTTTGCGTCTATCACTGTCCCGCAAAGATATTTACTCGTCCATACTTCATGCAAACAATCATCTCACAATTTAAAATATCGACACCCGAGTAACCACGTCAGAAAGAAAAATTCAATTTCGACAGTAACTTTCAAACTTATCGCAATTATTTGTTTTGATATATATATATCAGCGTTAAGTTCTTCGTCTATTTTCGCTACCTACTTAAAACAAACAATTGATTTTACACTTTCGAGGCTCAACGTTCAAATGACTCTTGTTAAAATTCAGTTATGCGTTCAGAAAGTCCAGTTATTTATTTACACAAGCTTCCTCGATGTGAAAGAGTCGCGGCAAAAGTGTAAAACATTTTTAAATGCCATTTTTAAAATTAACCGATGCTTGGGTTAAGAATGATATGTACTTTTGTCGTAAAATGACCCATCTTTCGACGAGATTCCAAAGGAATTCTAAACTCTCGCTTTCTCCGTTCGCCGTCCGCAATTTTTATCCGTTTCTTTCCTCGGACGGGCCATGAGACTGCGATTTTGCGGAATGCAAACTTCTCATGGCTGCCATCCACGCGAAACAATTAACGTTCCTGACAGGCGTAAAAGTGTTCCAAGAAACGGGCAGACATCGCGACACCCTACCCCCCTCGCCCATTGCAAAAATACAGGATCGGAATTATTTTGTAACGGAGTAAAGCGCAACCATAAAACGGAAATGGGCACAATTTTTGTTCTTCTTGTAATTAGCTGTTCGTGGACATATCGACAACTCTAATTGGTTACTCACGATTGGGTTAAAACTGGCAAGTACTTGTTATAATTTTTGGAAAAGTTTTGTTTCATTTACAAATGTTGTAAAACCATTCAATCGAATAAAATGGTTTGATTTGATTCGTCGTTTGTTA